TAAACCCTGAACCCTGAACCCTGAACCCTGAACCCTGAACCCTGAACCCTGAACCCTAAACCTTAAACCCTAAACCCTAAACCCGAAACCCTAAACCCTAAACCCTAAACCCCAGTCCTGCTCGAGGGATGCACGCTGCCTTTGATTTCTGCCACGGCACTTGCTTTGACGAGCTGTTTTACTTGCGTAAGCTCTTCGGCTCTCGTTTACGGTAGTCGGCCGTGCTGCTTCTGCAGGAAGACTCAAGCTTGGCAGGCAGTGAGAATGCGCTTGGCAAACAATCGTGTTTTACCTTCAATAGTCCAGTAAGCAAACCCGAGATTGGCGATGCAAGCGAAGCCAACCCCAGAAAGCCTACGCCCCAAAACGGCTCAAGCACTCTTCCTAAACTGGTCCTAAACCCCACAACCAAATAATGCTATTTCCATCGCCATGACCCGCCTGCCCGGGTGGCTGGAACATGAGACAGGCGAGCCTGGGACTGAATTTCGGAGTTCAGCAGGGTCTTTTTGGGGGCCATGGACAGAATGGAGGCCTCGAAGTGCCCACATGTGCACATGCGTGCCCTTGTCCCGGAATTGCCGACGCCCTGGCTAACTCAATCTTTTTGGTGGCAACGACTTCCACACACCCCCCCGAGTTGCCCGAGAGTGCCCTGGTTCAGGGCTTATTCTTGAGGATTAGGTGTCATCGGGATCATGCTTCGAATTGGGTTTGCGCAAGTGTCTAGGGGGGGGGGTTGCGCAACATGGCTGGAGTTAGAAGATTTGACGAAGTTTCGCTTGATGAGCCGCGCGCTTGTGCCATCAGGGCCAGTGTCCCGATGTTCCCTCGTATCGTAGATCAGACGAATGGTATGTCCCACAGGTGCCGTAGCTTTCGTTTTCGTTCTGCTGTAGAAATCGGTGCATCCCCTACACCCCTCCCTCCCACCTTATCCCTCACAATAGATGTCTGCCTCAAGGCTGGGCTGCTCCTTGGGTGGACGCGCGCGGGTCACATCAGCAGATCGTCGTCCTGCGCAGGCCTTGCCGAATTGAATGTTCGACGTTCTTTCTGGCATTGCTTTCCGGGCTTGAACTCGGTAGCCCAGTACTTCGATGAGAACTTGAAGGTTTGGTTGCATCATCACAAATACCCGGAACCTTTTTGCTGGTCGCGTGCCGAGCATCGCGTCTTGCAGAGACCGATGGTCTTTAGACTTTGAACCCCTCAAGAGATCACTCGGGCGCTAATGTGTAGAAACCGTAAGACGGTAGAATTGTCGTGTCGAGGATGTCCACGCCGTTGCTGCGCCATCCCTCATATCATCGCAGTGCGAGAAACGTGAGGTTGACATCATCCTTTTGAAGAAGATGTTGCCCGGGGGGGGGGGGGGGGAGGGGCAAATATGTGAAACCGGGGCACTGGGCGAAGTTGACCTGAATCATTGACAGAGATGACTCGCTGCAAAGCCAGACCAGATCTTGAGAATACGTGCGAGGTGAAACCCACCACAGCGGAGTGGGCGACCTTCGTCGAGAGGCGGGAGCCCGACACGGTTGATTATGACATTGTGCCGACAAGACCGACGGAACTTTTCTTTGAGCCACTTCGCAAACAACGTAGTTCTCAAAAAGGAGGAGCTCGTGACATGGACAATTCCATGCCAAGTCGTGCTCTTTTGAAATCCCCAGCATCTTCGGATATGCGTCCAATGCTCGATGCGACATGTTTCGACTTTTTGGGCTGCAGGGTTCAGTGTTTTCGGAATTCAAGGCTTCGGTTTGGGGTTTGGGATGCAGATGGATGATGGTGCTTGAGGTTCATGGCTTGGAGTGGCTTAACATAGACTTACATGAACCGTAGTCGACGGATGAACTGAATTGGTAAGGTGGGTTGCGAATGTTATCATCCGGGTGGTGTGAAGAGCGTGACTTCGGTTGCTGTTTGGCGTTGGCGGGTGAGGTCATGGCCCGATCCTGCGCCATGACCACTATTGATCTTCGGCTGCATGCCAGCGGGGTTCTGGCGACATGCATGTCTAGTTGCAAGTTTCAACGGGTTGTTTGGGCAGCAGAGAGTGTCGGCTGTGCCAGGCAAGTGGGTCCACAATGTGATTGGCCAGGTGCCCAGCGTCTCGAAACGAGGAAGTGTTCCCAGCAGGTCGTGTTCCCAACTCCAGGAAGTGGTTCTGTGAAGGTTCATTGGGGTATTGGTCTGTCTTTCCTTGTGAAATCATCCGCTTGCCAAGCTCCCCTCCCAAGCTCCCGGCCAGTCTTCCGCCATGCAGTGCATACGGTGTTTTGCCAGAATCTGTAGTGCAATAAGCAACTGGTTCGAGGCCCAATCCGTGGTCCGGGTGCTCTGCCTGAAGCTTGCAGCTTAGTTTCAATCTGTTGCAGCACCTTGCCGTGCCTAGCCTGCGACATGAGCGGTGTGCAATGATGTGTACTGGCCTGAAAGTTCTTCTAAGCGAAGTTTCACTCCAAGAAGGAGTGTCTGCATGTGCCCCAAGGATCCCCAAGGTGGATGGCATTTTGGCGCGCCGCCAGTCCTAGGGCAGGGAGCTGAGGCTTTGCGCGTTTACTTCGCCCAGTGGCCGGTGAGTGCACGCACGCGACAGGGGCTTGGGCGGGGGGCCTTCGGAGGCTTGGGGTCATCGGGGGCTTGGGGCGCTGAGCATGCTGCAGTCTTTGAACTCATTTGCAGAGGCCTTCCCCAACAGGGCCGGACGTTCATCGACGGCATTTCCTACCCAAAGGCCTTCAGGGCTAATTACAAGACAGAGATGCCATGAAATCATGACATGGCAAGCTGATTGCCACCTTGAGCAGGACTATGTGTGGAGCGCTCCGGGCGGACACGTCTCAGACGACGATGGCCAGCAGAGCCTCGCGTGCCGAGAGTGTGGACCCCACCATGCCTGGTGGATAGGCGAGGGTGTGTCTGGGCATCGTCTGCACAGAAATGCTGGCTGGGTCGCAACCGTGGCTTCTGCTTCGCAGGTCCGAGTCGATGAAGGACTTTTCTGTCAGATATGCTCGTGCCAGCAAAGACAATGATCAAGCCGATGTGTGCGGAAATGATGCCGAGCTGATTAAGTACTTGCAGTGCCGCTTGCCTCTTGATATTTGATATTTTGAGATGTGTTTTGGCATGCTCCGCAGACAGGGACGTCGGTTTGCAGAATGGCATCGGTGCTTTTGCAATCCCAGGTCCCGCGTCGTCCTTGCAAACCTTCGAGACTTGCTTGGGCACTGCGGCGACGTGGATGCATCTGTGAGGGCATCCGCGGACGATCTTGTTCGCAACTACGGGAAAGGTGGTCTGCCTTGTGTGCAGCAAGCGATTGCTGAAGCCAAACTTGGCCTAATGGAGAACCTCCTGTCAGAGTCCACCGAAATCAGCCAAGAGGTCTCGACCCGGGTGATGACGTGCTCATATCACATTCGACATGTTGTGCGGGTGCTGGAGAAGCCTCAGCGTCAGAAGTGGGTGTCCCTGCTGGTCAGAGTCCTACTTGGTCAGCAATCATGTCCAAAGCGATTGATCAGTGACCTTGAGCTCCTTTGGCGGGCTGATGACGATCCCAGCCGAAGCTATGCAGAGGCAGAGCAGCAGCTGAGGGCTTTCAGAACGAACGCCAGCAAAGATACGCGGAAGGGCGTTGGACTCTCCTGCACTGCTGAAGATGGCTGCACGACAAAAAGAAGTGGGTGCACATGCGCCCGCTGTATCCCAACCCCTCCCCTGCCCCCCTGCCCCCTCGCCCCGCCCTCAAACCTGAACCAAGAAGCATCCCCCGGCCTAACCCTTCAATCCCCCCAAACCTCTTCACAGAGCCAGCTAGGGTGTAAAGCTTAAACTTTAAACCCTAAAGGCCAAAGCCTAAACCCTTCGCTAGTTCATCCGCCGTGAGCCAGAGGCGCCTGGGGATAGGGGGGATAGGAGGCTAGAATGAGAAGACGCCGCATGTGGCAGAACCAGCATGAACCATTGGTGTGGGGGGAGGCGGGGGTGGCGCGGGCCACTTCGGGAGAGAATAAACAACAAGAAGAACAATACTATGACAAAATGTCATCAGATTAATAGCAACAACAGTAGCAAACAACAGGGATAAGCAACAGCAACAACTAAGAGTACGAACGATATAGTAAGCGGGGATGCCATTGTGGGGGGCGGAGGTGCGCGCGAATGCATGCGAATGCTAAACCTTAAGCCCTAAACGGCCCTAACCCTCAAAGAGCGTCACTTCCAAACGTGCTTGTAACACTGGTGAAAAGAAGGACCGCTTTGTCCTGCGAAGACATGAAAGTCTTGCGGTCACTGTCGGAACAACGCCTTCGATCACAGTCCGCCGGTCACTCAAGCATCTTGCCTCGTGCACATCACACGGACAGATCACACGAAGTTACCGCGACAGCAATGCAGCGAACAGCCAATCTCTGCCACCTCAGCTTGTGATGCAATAGCCGTTCGTGCAAACGCATCCTGCCCAGATCCGAAGCGGCTTTTTGCAGGAGGCTGCTACGACATGTCCCTGACAGCCACGTCTATATGTTAGCAGCCTCTGAGGAGCTCTGAGCGCATTTCGGGAGCCAGCGAGGCTCCTTTTCACCAGCCATGGCCCGGCCAAGGGGGAGGCCGCAACGTCCCGGCATCGAGAGGCCGGCAGCCGGCAGCCACCAAGTGTTTCATGTTTAAGGCATGCAGAGCCGATGCAAAACCCCCTGCGCCGAAGTCGCAGCTGCTGGCCCACAGTCCAGGTGCGAGGTTGAGCGCTGGAAGCCAAAGAGGCGGACTACGAACAGGCTTCTTGAGGAAAAGCCGCTCAGCAGACCTAGCAGGCTTAGCCACATACCAGCAGCAAAGCCCCAACGTGCCTTGCATTCTCACCCGTGTGCTGAGCATACGTCACGTAATGTCACGTAATGTCGGGTACTCATAGCAGTCCCGGCGGCCATCTGCACTACTCGTAGCATGCTTTTGGCAACGATTCGGCAACGTAATCGCTGAGGATGACGCCCAGGGCGAATGAGAAGGACGGCCGCGGTGCCCACCTGCTCCTTGGGCCGCATGTCTGTCATGTTACAGTGCTACTGTGACCAAACACGCTGAAGCTGGTTGGCGTGAAGCACGTCCGCCAATGGAGGCCGGTGAGCTTCTGCCTCGAAGAAGAGGCGGCGGAAGATCGGAAAGGAGGGGAGTGCCCCGAGCCGCACTCCGCAATCACATTGACTGCCCTGGTCCTTCTCCTGTCTAAGCTGAATGCCGGTCGTGACCCAAGGCGCAAGAGTCGCCTTAGCAGGGGCAGCGACAGCAGCGAATGCAGCACCTGCCTGCCCGACGACTACATCGTTGAGCTGCAGACAGAGCTCAGCAAGTCCGGGCCACATGCAGTGTTGCTCGCGGTGCTTTGCGCGCGTGCGGGGATCCGCTCATGTGCTAGCGAGGCGCGCTGCCAAGCTGGAAAAGTTGGAGACGGAACTGGCAGAGCTGCTGTCTGCGAATGACCTACTTCGCACGGAGCCACTCTGCTCAGACATGCTCAGGGCGGAGTTTTGTCATCCTCATTGCTTTTGTGATCTTCAATGTAGCTGAAGCCGAGGTGCCAGCTCAGCAAGTGCAATGTCGACCAGCTGCTGTCGGAGAACGACCTCCTGCGCAGGGAGCCGCTCGGCCGTGCTGCGCATGGCAGTCGCATCCGGTGCCCACGCGCTCGTTGCTCGGATCCTGCAATCGACTGAGACCAAGGTGCCACGACAGCAACTGCAAGCTGCAGGTCGACATGTCGTTGAGAAAGTTGCAAACTCGCAAGTTGCGGATCTCAAACAAGAGACTGCGGGAGGAGCGACTCAACTGCAGCTAGCAGCTATAGCTGAGGTCTCCCACTTCGAACCCTCCCTTCGAATCCGCGAATCCTCCCTCCCTTCAGACTCAGGGCCAGGCCTCCGCACAGGTTCGGGCGGGAACCGAGGTGCCAAGACACGAAGCAGCACCTCGAAGAGGCGGTAGCCCTCAACGCTGCTCTGCAGAGCAAGCTTCAGGTGGCCGAGACGAGGTTGAAAGAGAAGCCAGCCAGCTGCAAGCAGAGTAGGCTTGCTGAGGAGTGACACCAGGTGTGCGGCTGCTGTCTGTGTTGGCGGCAACTCAGGTGTTGCCCAATGTCAGCCGCACCTTTTTGCTTGGACGCGGCGGGCGAGGACTGGTTCGGCAGTGCCAGGTACGAAAAGCCCCGTGAAGCATGCGTCGGTGGCAGGCTGATCTTCCACAGAAAGTGCCTCCTTTTGCTGGGAAGAGCCTTGATGCAGAGAGCGAGAGGTGCGGCTCTGAGGGCTTTCGAATGCAAAGCAATTTTCGTCAGGGGAAGAGCTGCAGCTCAGGTCTACAAACGACGAGTCTCGCACGAGGTCTTCTGGGGCCATGGATGATGAATGTCTGGACCTGTCAGACCCGTCATCCTCTGTGTAACTTGGCCTATCTCGACCTCCATAAATCGCAAGGGAACAAGCAATGAACTCTGCACAAAGCCGGCAAGCACGCCATTCGAGGCCCAATCTGTTGCAGTACCTTACCGTGCCTAGCCTGCGAAGTTAGCGGTGTGCAATGATGTGTACCGGTCTGAAAGTTCTTCTAAGGGGAGTTCCACTCCAACATGTGCCCCAAGGTGGATGACATCTTGGCGTGCCGCCTGACAGCCCGGCAGGCCGCGAGTCCCAGGGCAGGGAGCTTTGCGTGCTAGGGACATGGGCTTGGGGCCTTCGGGAGGGCTTGGGGCGTGCTGAACTCATACTGTGCTCTTCCTGAACTCATTTGCAGAGAGGCCTTCCTCAACAAGAGGACCGGCCTGGCGGACTGGTACCTGGAGACCGCGTCCAAGAAGGCCTTGATGGCTACAAGACAGAAACACCATGAAATCATCAAATGGCAAGCTGACTGCCGCCCTGAGCAGGAATATGTGCCTGGAGCGCTCCGGGCGGATACGTCCCAGACGATGCTGGCCAGCAGAGCCGCGCCTGCCGAGAGTGTGGACCCGACAGACCCACCATGCCTCGTGCTGCAGCCTGGCCTGTCACCATAAGCTGTGCAGAGGCACATGCGCAAGTCCAGCCAGTGAGCAAGTCTTGAGGCCCAGCCTTTTGCAGTACCTTTCGGCATCCTGCCTGCGACATCAGCAGCTGGTGATGATGTGTTGTGAAAGTTGTGAAAGGAGTGTGAAAGGGCATGACGAACGTTTCTGTTGAAAGAGTTCTGAAGATGGTGTGCCTGCACGTGCCCCAAGGTGGATGACATGCTGGAGTGGCGCGTGACGTCTCGGCACACCAGGAGTCCCAGGGCAGGGGGCCCTTGTGCAAGTGTTGCTTATGCCCAGTGCATTGTGCAATGTCGTTGCTGATCTGGAGACGGCTGGGATACGCATTCTGCAGCCTAAGGTCTTGATACAGCACCTGGAGGAAATGGGCAGATTGGATAGGCGAGGGTGGGTTTTGGCATCGTCTGTGCAATTTGCACGCATGGGAGTCATGTATACCATCGCTTCTGCTGCGCAGGTCCGAGTCGATTCATGACTTTTCTGTCAAATTTGATCGTGCAATCAAAGACAATGGTCAAGCCGATGTCTGCGGAAATGATGCCGAGCAGATTAAGTACTTTGAGTGCCTCTTGATTTGATGCTTTAGATGTGTTTGGGCATGCTCCGCAGATAGGGACGTCGGTTTGCAGAATTGCATCGGTGCTTTTGCAATCCCAGGTCGGTGGTGGTGTATGAGGCTGGCAAGCGCAAGAAAGACCCACTTCGCAGAAAGTGATGCCCGCCGCATCGTCCTTGCAAACCTTCGAGACTTGCTTGGGCACTGCGGCGACGTGGATGCATCTGTGAGGGCATCCGCGGACCATCTTGTTCGCAACTACGGGAAAGGTGGTCTGCCTTGTGTGCAGCAAGCGATTGCTGAAGCCATGCTTGGCCTAATGGAGAACCTACTGTCGGGGTCCACCCAAATCAGCCAAGAAGTCTCGACCCGGGTGATGAAGTGCTCATATCACATTCGGCATGTTGCGCGTGTGCTGGAGAAGCCTCAGCGTCAGAAGTGGGTGTCCCTGCTGGTCAGAGTCCTACTTGGTCAGCAATCATGTCCAAAGCGATTGATCAGTGACCTTGAGCTCCTTTGGCGGGCCGATGACGATCCCGGTCGAAGCTATGCAGAGGCAGAGCAGCAGCTGAGGGCTTTCAGAACGAACGCCAGCAAAGAAACGCGGAAGGACGTGTGGACTCTCCTGCACTGCTGAAGCCAGTTGCACGACAAAAAGAAGTGAGTGCACATGCGCCCGCCGTATCCCCAACCCCTCCCCCCCCTCAAACCATCAGCCCTCCAAGCATCTTCTCAGATTCAGATCCCGCTAGGGTTTAACCAATTTAAGCCCTAAAGGTCAAGCCCTAAACCCTTCGCTGGCAAAGTCAAGGAGGTGCAGCTTTGCGGTGCTTTAGGGTTCATGGTCTTTGGGCCCGAAACCTCCTCGAGCTGAAGGGCCTAAACCTTCGCCTTCAACCCTTACGCCTACAGCATGGCACAAAAACAACAAGTTCATCCACCGTGAGCCAGAGTCGCCGCGGGATAAGGGGGGATAAGAGGCTAGAACTAGAAGACGCAGTATGTAGCAGAAACGAGCATGAACCTTTGGGTGCGGGGGCAAGGGGAGGCGGCGCGGACAACGCAAGAGCAAAAAGAAGAACATAACAATTATTAGATATTATTAAATATAGCCTGATTCTCGACAAGAGAAGTCCTAGGGGGTCGCGAACGGCAGGAAGACACCAATCCGTAGCACCGCCCATCAAACTCAGGGTAAATCAGGGTGATCAAGTCACTACACCATGTTTGCATGTACTCAAGAAGCCTGCATCTTCAACATGTTGCGCGCCCGAAATGTTGTCATGATCCCTCCTCATGGACCAAGTTCCCGCTTCCCCCATTGCTTCCCCCCCCTCGCTCTGAGACGTCATCGTGTCAGTGAAGACGAACTTGTGTCTACATGAAGCCCTTAAAGTCCTTAAACACGCAGGTCGGCTCTTTTCCGGCAGGGTGTTGCCGTGCAAGAGCTGGTAGGGTCGAAGGAGAAGTGAAGGGTGCAACCGGTGCCACTTGCTGTATAGTCAATCGTTGGCTTTTAAGCGCCACTGCTTTACAGTACTTTGCACCTTTAAGCAAGAAATCGTACCGTGGGGCGATTTTCGCGCCCGCTTGCAGCAGCTGGAGCCGTATGCTCAGCTTTTGACAATCGATGATTCTCTCCACACCGTAGGGAAACGCTGTAGCATTGTTCAGCAAGAGATGACGTCCAAGGCAGGAAGAAAGTCCGGAATGACACATTTCTGAAACAAGGTTAAGATGGCCGTATGCCGCCATGGCGTGCCCAAGGCCGTCTCCTGAAGAGCACGACCTGGAGACCTTCTGGAAGGGCGTCGAGAAGGCCAAAAGTCGCGGATCATCAGCGTCGTAAACTTTCTGGTGCATTCTGCCTGGCAGTAGCGGGTCCATTCTATGGCTCTCCTTTGACAAGCCATGCGTTGCATGATGAAATGGTGGTGAGTCGCTGGCAGGGTGAGGATGGCAGCATCACCCAAATGGAGTCGCGGACCAAGCTGTTTTTTTGCAGGTGCCGTGAATCGGCTGTTTGGTGCTCCTTTGCGCCTAGAGGTTTTGAGTGTTTGGGTTTGAGCCCTCACCAGCATTAGCGATGTTTGGCGCTTGAGGTGTTCAGAGCCTATGCTTTCCTTATAATACGCGAAGAAGAAAGGTTTAACAGGTAGGGTTGCGGTGGAGATGCAGGCAGCAAGGCTAGCCCACATTGCAGTGTACAGGTGGAACTAAAGAAATGTCTGAGAGTATTTGCGGAGAGACTTCCTGAATCGAAGTTTAGATTCGAGCATCCGCCAAAATTTGTGTAAAGCAAGACTTGTCTCGATGTTGCATGGGGTCTGGGTTTTGGTACTTTTCCCACGGCCCTCTGCAACGAAGCGAGCCTCATTCTCAGTTTGATGCGCAGTCCAGTGGCTGATGATCTTCAAGCCCATTGTGCTGAATTCAGGTACACCGAGGTCGAGTTCGAGTCCCTTTGGGAGGCTCCGAGCCAGAGCCTCAGCCGCCGTTCGTCGACCGGCAAAGTGCACGCGCGCGCACGCGCGAGCTCACGCGCGTCCGCCGCTTGCACGCGTGCGCGCGCACGCACACACGCACCGAGGTCTTACCCTTCGGCGCCTGACAGCTCCCCAAGTGCTTCGGGCTCGGAGGCGGGTTCAGCACATGTTTGGTTTGGCGTCGCCAAAGTTGCAAGCCGACAGGCTCGGTTGCAAAAAGAGTGGCGGAGCTGCCTCAAGGCGCGTGCAAGGGCTGGGATGTTCGTGGTGGAGGGCCTTGCGCGTGACACATAGGCTTGGTAAATAACCCCGTTGTGGAACTTTACCTAAGGGCAGCCCCGAAGTCAAAGATTCCTTGTAAAACGATAAGGAATTAGAAACGATAATGTTTACGTGTTGGGCGTAGCTTGTACTACAAAGCAATGAAAAACCGGCCGGCTCACTGAAACATCGACTCCAGTTCTACAAGCTTGTACTACGAAGCAATGAACATCGACTCCAGCACTACAAGCTTGTACTACAAAGCAATGACACACCAGCCGCCTCACGGAAGCTTGTACTAGAAAACCGACGCTCGCAGAAGCATCGATTCCAGTTCTCAGCTTGTACTACAAAGCTGAAAAACCAGCGGCCGAGCCCAGTACTGCGGAGACATGGCGAGTAATAAAGATGTACTACTGTGTAGTATCATAGCTTTGCAACCCTGGATCACCAGTGTCTTCACTTGTCTCCCTTGGTCTCCCTTCATGTTGGATAGGGTTTGAAAGGGTCTTGACGTTGAGCGTGTCCAAACAGCGTTTTTTTAGGGGTTCAGTCGGCTGAGTCGAAAGGGAATCCCATTAGCATTTCACGAGAAAGAAAAATGGCAGAGAAATCCTGGAGGTGCCCAGCATTGGCCTCAGCCTTCAATGCTACGACGTAGCATTGACACGTCGTGTCAAGTTTGAAACCCCAAGCTACCGAAGGGCTGACGAATTCTTCCGTAGTGAGGAAAGCCAACATGCCACTATATCACGAGGTTCACGGGCCCTCTGACAAACCTCCATTTTTCATGAGCTATCAACCCCCCCCCCCCCCCCCCCCCCCCCCCACCCCCTGTTGTATACTGTTGTTGGGGAGCACGTCCTTTCCACCCCCCTGTTGTTGAGCAGCACGTGGAACACACACTATTGTGAACCCCTCCCCCCCCCACCCACCCCACTGTTGTTGAAAACATGTCCTTTCCACCCCCCTGTTGTCAACGCGCTATTATCAACCCCAGCCCCCCCCAGTGTGGAAGACGCTCCATTATCGAGCCCTACCCCCCCTCCCATCCACCACCCACTGTTGTTGGGGAGATCAACCCCACCCCCGCCCAGGGAGCCTGTCCCCAATACTTATCCAGACTCACTTGTGACTCTGTCCCCAAAATCCAGACTCACTTGTGACTACTAAGTAGTCACAAGTGAGCCACCCACAAAAGTCACAAGTGAGGGGTTGGCCCTGGGTGTGTACTTTCATTACTCCAAAAACCCTAAACCCTAAACCCATGTGTGTGTGTGTGTGTGTGTGTGTGTGTGTGTTGATTTCCACTCTGAGGTCATGCCGCTGCCTTTCGTTCTCCATGATGCGTCCATTCAGGCTGGGCCCATCTTCTGTGAAGAGGCCAGTCAATTTTTCCCATCTTGCCATCAGTGATGCAGAGTCCAGGTAGCGCAATATCACGACAATTCGATGCCAATCCAAATCTTCACAAGTCATATTCATCCTAAACAATGCTACTCGTGCAATTTTGCACTAGCATGTTACCATAGCGTAGCTCATGACAGCATAATGTTCACTTCCCTAAAAACCCCCCCCCCCCCCCTTGATTGATTGAATCTCTCCTCCTCCCTCCCCCCCGTCCCTCCTCCCTCCCCCCCGTCCCTCCGCCCTCCCCTCCCCCTCCCCCTCCCCCTCCCCCTCCGCCTCTCTCCTTCTCCCCCATCCGCAGGGGCACCGTGGCAAGTGGGGCAAGTGGGGCAAGTTGGACAAGTGGGTAGGGCAAATGGGGCAAGTGGGGCAAGTGGGCAAGTGGGGCAAGTGGGGCAAGTGGGGCAAGTGGGGCAAGTGGGGCAAGGGCAATTGACATGGTGTGCTTGTCCGTTTGAGGCTTTCAACCTGAATTCTTGACTAGCACGCCACGCGAAGAAGCGCTAAAGAAATCAGTAGACACTCAGCGCCCTTGCCATGCAGGAGAGCCAGGATGCCTCGACCCCAGATTCTTACTGTAGCGGCATCTAGGTGGGGTCCGTAGCTCATTCCTGAGAAGGTCCCCAAACTGCAGCGGGCAGGACGAAATGGCTGGGTGGTATGCAGTCGGGGCTCTTGCGAAAGTGACGTTCTGAGGGTACTTGAACTTTTCACGGTCCTCAGAAGGTGGGGGCGGTCGCCTATTTAGGTTAGGGGCATTGGGTTTGGAAACGAGTCCCAAACATGCCTGATCGGGTAAAGGGCTGCTTAGGGTCCAGGGCTTAGGACGGGTCCAGAATTTGGGCCCGGTGGCATTGACGTGCGCGGGAGCCGATCATTCGCTCAAGAACCTGGAAAATCCTGCGAGTGGCAAGCCCTAAAGCGTGAGTTCAACTTGCACTCGGAGCCCCGATAAAACCTCTACAAACGCCTAATTATTGTACACCCTATAACCCCGATAACCCTTTAAACCCCAAAATTCCCATCATAGCACCCCTCTACACACACACACACTCTCTCTCTCTCTCTCTCTCTCTCTCTCTCTCTCTCTCTCTCTCTCTCTCTCTCTCTCACACACACCCACGCGCACGCACGCCCGCACGCACGCCCGCCCGCACGCACGCCCGCCCGCACGCACGCCCGCGCACGCCCACGCACGTGCAAGCACGCGCGCTCACATCACATGCACGCGCTCGCGCGTGCGAGGTCTCTTTCCGCTTCAAGCGACGAGGCGGGTTCAGCTCATGTTTTTTTGCTCCCGCTGGCCTGGGCGCCTAAACCCCAAGCCCCTAAAACCCTAAAACCCTAAACCCTTGTGAAATATCACCTAGTCAGGAGTGTACAGTGTACAGCCGAGGTCACATCTCCCTTGTAAAATGCCTTTTCTTGAAGCCCAAACCTACTACCCCTAATTTTGGGAGACACACTTCACAACATACTC